CAGTGCCGCATTGATTCCACATAGCTAATTTTAAACACAACTTATAAAGGAACTGTTAAGTAATCATAACATTGAACTAACGATATGACTATCACAGCCATGTTAACGTTAAACCAATTATTATTAGTGGTCCATACAAACCCTGGAACTTACCACTAGCGTTATAAAAAAGGCATGTTATGTCAGTAACTTATATATATATATATACTTTTTCTCTTGGTTTAAGTATAACGTAAAATGGAAATTACAAAACTTGTAGATTTTTTTTCTATGGTATTATTAGTAATCCAAACAAAGAACTTGTACTATTCCAATATAGCATTTCGACATATCAATCCGTCCTCCTGTTATCTTTCTTTCATATCTGAGCAACTTATGGCCAAAAAACATCGTATTGAAGGGGGTTTTGATGAACAAAAACGCGTGCCCCAGACGCACTCGAACCTCCGACCTCCTGAATGCTCGACCGTGTGCCTAGCCATTAGACCACATCAGACCACAAGGGGGGTGACTGCAATCTTTCCTTTCACCGATTAATCATTCATAACACTAATGAGTAATAGGACTTACACACTTCTAAGGTGCAGATAAATTCGTTACTTGGATCAATTGACGAAATATTGCTACAATATATCATACATATTTAAATCAAACCAGAAAAGAGTATTTGACACAACTGTACTTGATCCTCATACTCTACACAATTTTCTCCCTCTTTAACCGTATATTCTCTTCCGTTTTATGGAGTAAAATTATGCACCCATGGTTACGTACCTGGTTATAAAAGGCGGTCGCCATAGTCCCAATGTCACACATTTGAACGGGTTTGTCAATGAGTCCAAATTCTAGCAAGTTTACACTTTTACATATATGCATTATAAAAAAGTATTTTTTGGTTTTCATACCTTTTCGTACACAAGATGGCTAAACTATGTCTATTTCCTTCCAGAATACCAATTCGTTCTGGAGGCCAATCACTTACGTGGAACCGAACAATTATCAATAATATTTATGTATTTCCATTTTGTATCTTATTATTTTGATGCAGGCAGTGGAGCAGTTCTTCAGGTTTGATTGGTTTTCATCATTACTTTTGAAGTAAATTCTTCTTTACTTTTTACTTGAGGGCGACTCAAGAGGCAGGTGAGTAAATACCTAATAGCCGGTCTGAGCATGGAAAAACCGTACCTCACCAACATGGTGTTGGGTAGCCCGCTCGCGACACTTCCTCAGATATTCTTATTCCACAGTCTCACTCTTTCTCTTGAAAGCACGCAGCAAACCGTCAGCGATAGTTGTAGAAAAAATCACATGCTACAAAATAAGATGACAAGCTGGTAAATGAATAGACATCCATGAACTAACGTTGACAGCTGACAGCGTTAGTTGCCACTGATTGTAAGTCAAACATTGAGCGAGTTGATAATTTTTCTTAGGATGAAAAATAGAACTAAGGTGTTTTTGATAGATAGGTTAAGCGAACCGACGTTCCTACGGAAGTTGATTCTAGAGGGAAGCTAATGTAACAGCATAGGTTGGTTGGTTAAGAGTTGACCCCAAACAACCAAGCATATGCCAAAACAGTATTGTTCAAGTACTCATTCACTTCCTTATTTCGTATAAGCATTATATTCCGTATTATCTTATATTGAATGTTGAAAGCCTCTTGTTTGCCTGAACAGATAATCCCAGGCTCCACTGTGACTGCGCGAAGATCGAAATAAAGACCTATTCACTACTTCTTTGATTTCTCCTATCAATAGCACGAGGGTCACCTATAGACACGAAACACCCACGCATACGGAATAAAGGTGAATGAAATTTTCATTTTACAAAAAACTACTACTTTTCTATAGAGAAACTGAAGTGAAAGCCAACAGCTTTGATGTGGATTCATAGATTGTCTTACTTTAGCTATGCGTAAACTCTGTAATCATTTACCACCTTATTTCAAATGAGTTCACTGAAAGTCTTCTTATAGTATTTTCTATTTATGGCGTTTCAATTTCATCAATCAATGGGACTATGAACGATCATTCCGATGCTTTTAGACTCGATTAGTTAATGCGTCCCAATTTTATTGAGTATGAGACTTTGAACAGTACTCCGGATAATTACATTTGGCTATTTGCCAAATCTGTATTTGTGTTGAATATTAATTGTGGTTGGATATCGTGGTAAGTTTTGAGCGATCAGATTTCGCAGGAGATCTGTAGTGGCATTGGACTATAACCACACAATCCTCAAAGCTGAATACGAGAATACTCGGAAAATAGATATTCAATATTTAACGCGAAGAAATACCTAACGATGGAGAAAGCGCGAACAATGAACTGAATAAATTATAGTTGATGGCACACTATGCTTGTTAGTTTACGGGTTTTCGCGCACGTGTAACGTATTGTCGTGGATTTTATGTGTCGTTATTTATCAGCTATTAACAGCCTTTTTTCCGTCATACATGACTTTTCGTAATCTTTGTGATTGGAAGATAGTTTTTGTTTCAATTTATAAGCAGTTTGACGTATTTCGTGCTCACCACCTAAGTAAATATGTAGCTGGCGTAATATGGTTTTTTTTTAACAATACTAAGTCAAAGAAGTCAAATCACCATTTTTCTAGTCAAAAATAGATTACAGATTGAGTTTTCATGAAAATAAGCCGTAAAAAGAATTATATATGGTTCACCTCCTTGATTATGGTGACGGCAAACACAGATGTTGGTAGTCGTTTATAAAATGTAATTAGAAAGAAGTAAGCGTTAAAGTAACTATGAATATTATATAAATTGTTTGTATTTAGCCATAAAAGGTTATTTGGACTATAGGTAGCATTGTTTTGTACTGAAGTGACATATTACTGTGTAAGGTATCAGAGAAAAATTATGTGAGTAACAATAGACGTTGATAGTCTTTTTTACCGGTTTTCTGAACTTATACAGAAATAGTGTGTAACACCACATTAAATATGCACGAAATCTTCATAAGTAAATCGATGTGTGTCTCTTCTGAGCATGGTGACTAAACCATGTCTTACTTAATACTGACTTATGATGTGTCTGTTAGAGGGTTGACGAATAATTCTCTGTAAAGGAAATGCACAATCGCAGAAGAAAATGTGAACAAAGTTATGATGCATATTGTCGAGTAATATCTAAATGGTGCTTACCAATTTCTCCTGCTAATACCAGATATATAGACGAAATACTACAAGGGTTAGACACTGAAGAAATTTCCATTGCTTGTTAAGACACAAACTTAAATCAAAAAACAACTATTAATGAGTTAATTCATGAATTCCTACTGCATTACAGACTGACTCGTCCAAAGTAATTCATGCAGACAACGTGACGAAAAGTGAATGAGCAATGGAAGCAGAATCACAAGTTCCTTGTATTCATATCGCCTTTATGCCACATTATTGAATTAAATTTTATTCATAAATCCGACCACGCTTCTATGTTGTGACGAACCTGATTTCAGTAATTTTTAAATAACACTGATTTGTGTGTTGTAAAGATTACCTATTAATTTTTATTAAAGGAAATAGAAATCTCTAATGATTAGCGCTGTCTGCAAATAAGAGACTTATAAGTACATTCTGTAACCTGCTATTTGATTGACTTATTAAATGTGATATTGATAACTAGGTCTAATTCTTTATTTCACGACTGATTTGTTTGTTTTTCAGAATTGTATGAATCAAATGAAGTCGTCAAAGCTTTGTGATGATGTGTACGCCGGTCTACAACTTATAGAATTTGTGATTATGGAAGACCATATTAAAATCATTTTTATTCAACAAATGAATTAGTGAAATATAAATATAGCAACTACACTTAGTGTCTTACGTTATAAACCGTGTCAGTATTTATTAATAGTCGATATGACGCTAGAACAAATATAGATAGAGAATAATATGAACTCCTTATAATCCATGGAATGAACAAGTAATAAGAATGATTATGTAATAATTCATTTCACTTTTAAAATTTAGTTACGCATTTTTTCCATCACCCTGTCACTTAATCCTCTGTAATTACGTGACCTCTGCAAATTGTAATCAATTATGACGTAACTCAAGTTTTCAGTTCTTAAATCCACGGATCATTTACAAGCTATAAGAATTTCACACCACTTATCTGTCTGTGAACTGCAGTCAACTATTATATCACCCATCCCTAATGTGTTATTGACTGTAAAAGCAAATGACCTTTGACCTTACACTGCATATATATATATATATATATATATATATATATATATATATATAGTCACTATTGATAACCTACGTCATTTCATTTATTCATATTCAGGTATGTCAACTGTTTCCCACATCACTGTTAAATCCTATTGCATATTTAGTTGTAATGAATGCATACCACTGTTAATCAACATTTCTCCTGGTTTTATTTTGATTCATAAGCGGAATTAATCACATGAACTTAAAATGTACATAGGTCCTGATACGATTTTAATGATAAACGTAATCCCACGAAGGTGAATATGATATGTGGGTGCCTAATCTGCAAAACTGTACGTCGATGTAGGGTTTCTTAATCAATCTTAATTATTACAAACAGTTACACATGAACATCATTGCTATTCATTCCCATAAAAGTAGTAATAAGATGAAAATTGAAATTATGAAAGTTTATTGAAGAATCATTGCTGCAAAAGCAGAAAATCAAGTTTACAAGTTGGTATTAAGAATTCTTAAGTAATAATTGTCCACTTTCTTCTCAACTTCTGTTGCGAAGCGTTCACCATACTTCTCAATGATGCGATGTTTTTGGAATCTTTGGCTGCGTTGAATACTTACATACTCTTCACTCCGTCGTGGTAATGCAGTTAATGTATAATTTTGTAAGTTCTGGGTATTGTGTAACTTCCATCTGCTACAATACCTAAGAAGTTGATGAGCTATGCAGTTAGTATTTCATTATTGATATAGCTTACCTGTAAGATTTCTTCTTTTAACGTAGGCATGTAGCATGTGACGGCAGGGATATCGACACATCATAAACATGCTACAATTGCATTGACAAATGCTTATATCGACTTCATAATGTTGTCCACGGTCAACCATGAACAACCAGTCGCCGCTTTCATATTCCACGTAGACAAAACGCATTTGTTTAAGCTCGTATAACACTTTAGATCTTGCGAATGGCGTCAAAATATTTAGCAAGGGTATTAAACGTTGTGGAGCATTATATTTATAATATCTTCCGGCTATCAATTGATCTTCGACACTTCTTCTAGTTGACCGAAATTATCCGTCACCACTATCTGGAATAAGGAATATCTACATAGTAAAACACAACGATAAACAGATTCACTTTTTATTATTAGTATTATACGTAGAATCAATGCACACGACTTCTGGATATTTCCTATAGAGTTGTATTTGGTTATAACTACTGAAACATATTCTCGTCGCATATCCATTTTCTAAATGCTCCCTCACTTCGCCTTTTTGTCTAAGCATATCCATTACTTGCTTCCGAGTACAACAACCTGAAATATATTTATATACACTTACCAGTGGAGAGTGTAGCTTTCATAGCTTTGACATCGGCAGCAGTTACTTGCTTACCAGTTCTCTCCTTAATACTTTCGATAACTTCGTCTGCTGACTCACAGTGAAGTATTACGGGCTTCAAGTTCTCTTTTTCTTCCGACGATAATCTCCTTGTCCATGGATCACATACCATCCATGAACTACTACATGGATGATTGTGTATCATCTTGTAGGATTTGATGACATATCCTTGCTCTTCTAGTCTTACACGGAATTTAGATTGACAATTACGGAATTTAGACCTTAAACATAAGATATTAGTTAAAGATCTTACGATTTTTGCCTCACTTTCAAACCTTCCGATTTCCGTTTGTGACCAAACGTACAATTAAACGATACAAACAGGTATCTGAACCTGACATCCTTCAGCAATCTGCTTTCTGTGTGGATGTAACGAGTATAAGTAGTCTGAGAAGCGATAAAATTATAGTTCCATACTTTTTGGAACTCTTTTAAGGCACTTTCAAAATCATCCCACAACACGAAACGCTTGTTCAGTATCATACTTCGAAAGGCATCGGTTAGGTCGACTGAAATGTCACTTGAGGATGAAGCACTAAAAACAGACATGACTAATTATTAAACAGTTATTCCTTGCAACAATAATAACCCAAGGAAATACTACAAATACTTGAGATTTACCTGTGACTTGACATTTCGTTTAGCTTTACTACAATTGTTGGGATCAAAGATCAAATTACAAAGCAACAACAGAGCCAAAGTGCACACTACAAAACAGAGAACGCCAAATTAATGGTTTTGCTATTTATTTCGTGCTTTTTATGTAGCATAGGATGACTTATATATGAAAAAAATTGATACTCATGCAAACCAACCAACCCACGGCAATTGAAATACGGAATGACCGCCTCTAATCAAGCCGTTCAAGGTCGCTGAAACGAAAGGGCGGGCACATTTCAAAAGGACCTAACGTTTAAACCGTGCCCAATTGCGGGGGCACGGACTGGCGGGTAAGCCACGGATATTCGCGCACACGTTACATATTGTCGTGGATTTTTTGTGTCGTTATTTATCAGCTATTAACAGGCTTTTTTCCATCACACATCAATTTCTGTATTGCTAGTGCTTGTAACATAGTTTTTATTCCAATTTATTAGCAGTTTGACGTATTTCTTGCTCACCACGTAAGTAAATCTGTAGTTAGCTTAATAAAGTTATTTATAACAATACAAACTCAAGCAAGTAAAGTTCACCGTGTTTCCAGTCAAAAAATACATCACAGATTGAGTTTTCATGAAAATGAGCCGTAAAATCTTTTACATATGGTTCACCTCCTTGATTGCGGTGACGGTGAACATGGATGTTGGTAGTTGTTTATAAAATGTAAGTAGAAGCAATCAAGCGTTAACGTAATTGTGAATATTATATAACTTGTTTGTATTTAGCCATAAAACGTTATATCCATTAGAGGTACCATTGTTTTGTAATGAAGTGACATAATTATGTAACGCATCTGAAAAAAAATTATGTGAGTAACAAATGACGTTTATAGTGTTGTCCAGCGGCTTTCTGAACGTCTGCAGTAATAGTGTATAACACCACATCAAGTAGGGACAAAACCTTCATGAGTAAAACGATCGGTGTTTCTTTTGAGCATGGTGACACAACCATGTTTTTTAGTTAATACTGATTTGTGACGTGTCTGTTATAGGGTTCACAAATGAATTATTATATACTCTTCACTCCGTCTCGGTAATACAATTGTTGTGTTACTTAGGAAGTTATGAATGAATGTCACTACTTGTAAATAAAAGACTTATAGGCACAGTCTGTTACTTGCTATTTGAATAACTGATTGAATATGATATTGAGAACAAATTTAAATTGTTTGTTTCAAAATGGATTTGTTGTTTTTTAGAATAGTATGAAGCTTATGGAATTTAGGATTACGGAAGATCGTGTGGAAAACCGGTTTACAAGTTTACGATAACTGTTTTATATTGCCTACTGCTATGTTCATTCATCTAATGAATTATTGAAATATAAATATAACAACCATACGCAGTGTTTTACGTTATAAATCCTGTAAGTTTGTATTATTATGGTCTAAATTAAGCCAAAACAAATATTGACGCAGAATCATGTGACTGCATTACATTTCGTGGTTTCTCACAAGTTGCGTACAACTGAATATGCATTATAATTTAAGATTGAGGAAAGAAATAGTATGAAAGATAATAGAAAGCAAATAATTGGAATGACCTAGGTTATCAATAATAACTATACATATGTATATGCTTGAACAGGTCAAAGGTCATTTGGTGTTAGACTTAAGGGAACATAAAGGATGGGTGGTGTAATAGTCGAGTGAAGCTCAGAAGCATATAAGATAAATTGTGTGATAATTCTAGATGTAATGAATAAATCAGTGAATTAAGAACTAATAAGATAAGTGAATACAAACTGAAGAGTTTACAAAATTTAGCAAAGAAGTGTGAGTGGAAGGGTGGTCTATGGATTACGTAATCCATCTTATCAGGGAACTAGTTGCATGAAATTGTCTAGTTCCGTACTAATACTAACTTGATAATGGACGTAATCTGACAACGGAAAATATGAAGGCGGTTGTTCAATCTGTAAGGTTTTACGTGGAAGTCGCATTATTGTTTTATGTGACTCGTTGATTCGTCACAATGAACAACGATATAACGCTAAGTTCTAACGACAGTTCGTAACTAATGCAGTAGTACAAATCCTTAACTTTCACACACAATTATTCGTTAAAGCGATTGGTAAACCTCCCCATGAAAGTATGAAGAAGACGAAAATAAAAAATGAGAAAAAGTTTATTGATTTTTCATGACTACTAAAGTGGAAAGATAAGTTTACAAGTTGTATAAATAGTGGTCTAAAATAAAGCCACAAAGAACTTTTAATCGCAAACCTGCTGTCTAGCTGTTTTTAATTCTTAAGTAAAAATTGTAGACTTTTCTCCCCACTTGATTCGCGAAGCGTTCACCATATTTCTCAACAATTTGTTGTTCGCACATTCTTTGGAGCCGTTGAAGTTGTATATATTCTTTACTCCGTCTCGGTAATGAAATTGCTGTGTTGCTTTGTAAGTTGTGCGTATTGTCTAATTTCCATCTGCAGCAACACCTAAGAAGTTGATGAGCTATGCAGTATATATTTTATAATTAAAATAGCTTACCTGTTAGATTTCGTCTTTTAACATATACCAGCAGGAGATGGCGGCACGGATATCGACACATATTAAACGTGCTACAATTGCATTGACAAATACTTACATCCACTTCGTTATGTTGTCCGCGATCAACCATAAACAACCACTCGCCGCTTTCATATTCTAAGTCAACGAAACGCATTTTTTTTAAGTTCGTATAACACCTTGGATCTTGCAAATGGATTCAACATGTTAAGCATGGGGATAAGACGCTGTGGAGCATCATAATTGTATGTTCTTCCACTGGTTATTTGGTCTTCAATGCTTTTTCTAGAGAAAGTCATTGAACTCCACTTCAATGCCTTGTACATGCATTTGTGCAACCTGTCGGTTTTGCGTACATATCTTTTTATCTGCCTATTTAATGACTCAACACGATTATTTGTGTTGTTACCCAAAGTTAAAACACTGCCGTAAAAGGCACGCGCCCACATTGTTATATACATGGCATCCAGAAAAGTGATAGGTACTGGCCTATCACTCTGTCTCTGCGGTTTATTATTCTGTAATATTGATTAAATCTAGTGAATAAATACATTAAAAAATTACCTTCCGACCGTTTCTGCGGTTACCAGTCAAGTCAAGTAGGTTTTTAGTATTTTATCATTTGTTAAAGGGAAATTTTATGTAACCAACCATTGTTGTACGTTTCTCCGGAAAGCGCGAATTACATGAAAGGCGCACAAAATGATGTTTGCATGCTCGTGTGTTATACGGACAGCCGCGCTTTTAGATCTTGCGCAATCCATCACAAATGTTTCTGTTTAGGTCGTGTTACCCATGATCTCATTGGATCTACCCAAAATCCACGTAACATCGGCACGCTTTTTTGTGTCCATGCAAAAATAACACTTTGAACTCGACTCCAATTGTCTGTCACAACTAACTGGAATAATGAATATCTACATAGTAGAACAAAACGAAAATCATATTCACTTTTTACTATTAGTTTTATGAGTAGAATCAATACACACAACTTCGGGATATTGATTGTACAACCGTATCTGATCATAACTGCTGAAGCATATTGCCGTAATACATCCATTTTCTACATGCTCTCTAACTTCACCGTTTTGTCGCATCATGTGCATTACCTGCTTCCGAGTCCAACCTGAAATATATTTATATACACTTACCAGTGGAGAGTTCAGCTTTCATATTTTTGACATCAGCAGCGGTCACCTGCTTACCTGTTCTTTTCTTAATACTTTCGATAACTTCGTCCGTCGACTGACAGTGCAATATAACTGGTTTCAAGTTTTCTTTTTCTTCTGATGACAATCTTCTACTCAACGGATCACAAACCATCCGCGAACTAGTACACGGATGGTTGTGAGACATGTTGTAAGATTTTATAACGTATTGTTGACCCTCCAATCTTACATGAAACATCGATTGGCAATTTAAAAACTTAGACCTTAAATGTAACACATTAGTTAGAGTCCTCACGGTTTTTTATTCACATTCAGACCTTCTGATTTACGTTCACGACCAAACGTGCAACGAAACACTATGAACAAGTATTTATATCTCACATCCTTCAACAATCTACTTTCTGCGTGAACATAGTGTGTATGGGTCATCTGAGAAAACATAGATTTATCCTATCATACTTTATGGAAATCCTTTAGCGCATTATCAAATTCAATCCAGCTTCCGAATCTCTTGTTCAGCATAATACGTTGGAACGCGTCGCTTACGTCCACTGAAATTTCACTTGAGCATGAAGCACTAGAGACAACACGCAATAGTTATTAAAAAAAGGTTATTCCTTGAAAAAAATTAACTGAAGGAAGAACAACAAATATTTAGGACTTACCCTTCAGTTGACATTTCGTCTTAACTCACAAAAACTATGCGTATCTATAACCTTTTACGTTATTTTATCTTTCTTAGGTTGATTTCTAGACCTTATCAACAAATTATATATAGCTGTTGACTTTCACTACAGCACTTAGGACCACAGATCAAGTTTCGAAGGAACAACAGAGCTAAAGTGTGCACTACAAAACAGAAAATACTCAATTAATGCTCTTAGCAGTTATTTAGTGTTTATTATGCATCAAAAGATGACTTATATATGGAAAAATTTAATACTCATAGGACCCAACACACACACGGCAATTGAAATACGGAATGCTCGCTTCCAGTCAGCGCGTTCAAGGTCGTTGAAACGAAACAGCGGACAGATTTGAAAGGGATCACCGTTTTTACCTTGCCATTGCGAATTATTCAGTTAAATGAATTTATATATCATTGATGTGTATTGTGTAACTCATCAATAGCATTAGGACTAACGCCTATAACAAGACTGGTTGACGCTCTTAAAAACGAACCGAAGAAGCCTTAATACTTCAGATAATGTCAGCTCTTATTGTGTATACTCAATCCTATGTAAACCCTTTGAATCAGACATTGTTGGGAATGGATATACTCCACACCATTATGTCGGATAGAAGAAGCAGAAACGAAAAGGATGAATAACAACTGGAAGTAGCTGGAAAGGATTGCACATG